TTTAGCAGATTTTTTTTCTCTTCATACTTGAAGTGCACAAGTGCAACAAACTGCCAATTACAGCTTATTGTGAAGTCTTTTCTATGCTTTCATTTTCCTTTAAAAAGCATGTTCATGAAAGTATGTTAAGACTACAGTGACCTTAACAGGACTTAAGACAATCTTTAATTGTACAGTTTAAAGCAACTGAAATCCTGGTTCCCAGTTAACTCTGTGGTATTTGTCTTGGGTCTTGTTTACATGCTGGGCTGGAAACAAGGGCCCAGAAGACATTTCTGTCCCGGTCAGCATATATGACACCCTAGACACCTTATCTGCTGTTAAATGGAGAACTAATTTGCATCTACCATCTGTACCTATTCTGATTAGGCATCAGGATAAATTGGCATTCCTAGGGAAGTAATTTATGTGACTGGCTTTTTTATGGTGCCTGCAGCAGTAGGGCTGGAGACTACTTGAACGGTGTCTAGCTCTAGGCAGGACGTGATCAAGACAAGCTTTTGGACTTTTGGTGCACCTTGTGGCTCCCCAGTGGTGTCTGAGGCCAGGGATGTGGAGGGTGATATATGATAGCAATATGGATTTTCAGAAGCCCACATGCACACTTATGCCCTCTGACCAGTATAAGAGAGCTTTTTCAGACAAGGCGAGTACTTCAGGCGGTATAGAAATTTGGCCAATGTAGATGAGTCATCAAGATAACATTTTTCTTTTTCTTTTCAATAGCTGTGTGGTGGAGGATGATGGCACACACTGTCATCTTGGCATTACAGTATGGGTGAACATCTCTCAGAAGTTTTATGGGGTAATATCTGGATCTGGATGAAAAGCATGGTGAGATGTCATGGTCACACTGTCAGAGGTGCCTCTCATCCATTACAGGGCAAGAACTTCAACTCTTTCTGTCCATTGAAATAAATATTTTTCCTTGTCCCTCTTTTTCTTGAATTGAAATCAGGGATGAGCTGTGAGTTGTCTCCTTCAATTGCTTTCACCCACTCCTACCAATCTCTTCCTGACTTGGAAGCAGACCACTGCCCCTGCTTGGGAAAAGATGAGGAGCTTCACCAGGGAGAGTGAGTGTCCAGCCTAGGGGTGGGCCAGAGGAAGGAGTCACTGGGGGGCAGCAAATTCAGAGAAAACCATCCTAAGATGTCTCACCTCCTTTACACCCTGCTTTGCCCATGCAGGAGGAGCTCTCTGAAGAGTGATCTTTTGTGAAAAATCCTTGAAAAGTCCCTGAACTGGGGGTGCTCTTCCCTAGATGCAAGGTGGAGCTCAGCTCCTGGCTGGCTGGCTGTGGGCAAGCAGAGCTGCCTTTCTCTGGGCAAGTCTTCTCATCCCACCTCATCATCATAACATGCTACTCTTGTTTCTCTCTGGAGTATGACCTGCTTCAGCCTTTGAACTCTAATGCTAATTTTCTTCAATTGTTCTTAGCTAAACTCTGGATGAATTTACTCAGAGAGTTTCCAGAGCCCAGACAGACCTTATGTTCATGTTTCAGATGGCACTTCCTTGCCTGGAGGCCACAAATATAGCAGACCTGATTTCTCAGATCAGAGTAGTGCTAAGAAAAACCTTTTGGTGTTCTCCAGATGTTTCATAGTTGAAAGCTGAGCCACGTTTTAAGTCAGATGGCTGCATAAACATGCACTGTGTCTCGCCATAGCTATAAAGCAGCCACACTTCATTTTTCTGAAGACAAATCTGGATGGTGCTTGTCTTTCCCCCTGCAATAATGATCATCTCAATTTTATCTGGGCAATTTGAAACACCATGTGTGTTGTCCTAGGTGATGTGACCTAATCTGTCAGCCAAATACAAAACTGGCTTCTCAAGAGCGCCCTTTTTTAATATTCATGATGTTAGGAGATCTCTTTTCATTGAAGGTGATGCTGGTTAGGGCCTTGGTGTTTATAAAAAAAATAAGGTTCTCAAACCCCACACAAAATTCTCCTTGTAGTTGATTATATTCCTCCACTTGTTCTGTATCTTTATTATTCACCAAATACTTAGTTTATGCTTATGCTAAAAATCAGATGCCTGTGTTGTCATGAGGTTTCCACTGTACAAAGTTTGTCACAAAATAAGAAAAGATTTAACATCTCTATGATGGAACTGAAAAAGAACGAATGTGGTGATAAGATCCCATAATTCTGCTGTGGGGTTTGAATAATCTTGATTTGTTTCGTTTCTTACATTATGTTTCTCAGGTCATTTCTCTGAGGACATTTATTGAATTAGTTTATGCTTTTGCAATGATCATCACTGAAGTATTTATTATCACTGTTAATGTTCATTGCATGTCTATTTTGCCAGTTGTGTGGTGTAGAGATCTCCATGCCAGACTGCTTCTGGTATTCTTTTCTCTGATGGGCTGGTGCTAATATCTGCGTGCAGCATTGCAGCTTACAGTATAGCTATACCTGAATGGAACAATTTATATTGTCAGAGATCCCTGTAGAATATAAGGTTAGAGGTGTGCTGTGTTTTACAAGAAATGCGGGGTTCTGGAGCAAAGTTTGGTGGTTAGAGATTAAATAATTGCAAGTTCTGGCTGCAGAAAATGGAACCTTCAGTACCAATAGCTCAGACCTGCAAGCTAGTAATCCTACAGTGAGGTATCTGGGCGCTGGAGATGAAACATTGCTGCATTACTTTCAAAGCATGTGGAAGCCTGGTGCTGTGTAAGTACATGCTTTTTCTGCTGGAGCTGTGTTGAAGGTCTTGTCTCCTTCAGGTCATCTAGCTCTAGTGCTCCAGCCACCTCCTAAACTCTTAGCTCAAATAGGTCCCCAAAGCTTAGGCAACATAAATAAAGGACCTCTGCAAATCTGGTTTGTCTGTGCTGAACTGGATCTGCTGACATGGTAAGCTTCTCTGCCACCAGCTCAGAGGGTGGGTAACACAGCTTTTCTGGGCCCTTCACTGTAATTGTGGGCTAGAGCAGACCTTCCCTACCCAGCACTCTGAATGTGTTTCTGCAGAAACAGACCCTGCTTTCTACTGCTGATTCCTGCAGGGAGAGGGGAGTAGAAACAACTGCTCCTAGGAGAAAGACGTCTTGACCTTGCTTCTGCCTGGGGCTCTGCTGAGGCTTGCCTACAGACCACTCTGCTTGTGTCTGAGACTTCCCTACACACCACCCCTTGAGAGGCAATGGTGCTTGCATGGCAGCTTATAGGGTGTGCTAGCAGGGTGAGGGGACAACACCCAAGAAAAAGAATGGCTGCAGTGGAAAAGGGAAGCAGCATGCTTGGAAAAGCAGAAGAAGGCAGTCTGTTTAGTTCAAGTCTTGGGGCAGAGGATTTTTTCTCCTGTTTCACACAAAGTCTCCATTGCTTTTTGTGATTTGCTTTTCTGTTGTGACTCCCACCAAAAGGTGAGAAAAGACTAAGAAGGAATCAAGCATAGTCTGGTATGATCTGCACAGTGGCAAAAGAGAAGACATTCTGCTGGCTCTGCTGTCACATGAATATGAACACATCTTAACTTCCTGTGTCCCTCTTCTCTGATTTCTTGGTACAGCTCCTCTGCTTCTCTTCATGTCCCTCTGCAGCCCAGGCAGCTGCTGGATCCAAACCCATACAGGAGAGCAGATGCTCTTTTTTCAGTAAGACTGTCAAAGAGATTGAAAATAGTGGGAGCCCAGCTTCCACAGGATGTGGACTGGGCAGCTTAAACTAATTATGTTTTTGTTGACCCGTTGGAAGGCTTTGGTTTTTAAAGGTTTCAAACTTCCCCTTGCCACTGACTATGACTAGTCAGCCTGGGAAGCTGTGTGGGATTGACAGGTCATTGGGAAAAGTACCTAGGAGGATGTGAGATGCTTTCTAACATTTTCTACATCAGGCATACAGTGTGCTTTGCAGGGAGGTTGATGTGGAACTGTGTTGCAGCCTTGGGAGGTGGTGGTCCTAGAAACAGCATTCTGCCCTGAGTGCCCACAGAATGAGTCTGACGAATGAATTTTGCACTGTGCTCTACTTCAGGAAACAAGCAGTTGCAGGTAAATCTCAAAGGGCAATTTAGTGGGGCAGGTTGTAATTACACTTAGAGGCATCTCGTCAGGAGGAAAGTAGGGCAAAACGTTATTTAGAAGCCCTGATGACATTTTCCATACTGTAATGCAAATACTCTGATCCCCTCATTGGGTGCCTTGGAAGCACCCACATTTTCTATCTAGCCCCATTATCAGGTGCCTTGGAACTACCTTTGTTTTCTAAACATTTGTTTTCCATGTAAGTTTTCTCACTACCTCCTCCTGCTCTTGCAAACCTTAAAGCCATAGCTGCTCAGCAGCTGCACTGTGCCTAAATGTCACTTGGTTTCACAAGCTGCATGCTCTGTTGTTTAAGCTGAGCTTTAGCAGTGCCCTGTGATGTGGAATTGTATCATCTTTGCCTCTCCACTGCCACGCTTGTCCTCCCGCAGGGCTTGAAAGGCCTCGAGGCTGTGCCACGGGCCCAGGTACATGGTGTGAGTGTTGCTTGTGGTAGCGATGGGAGCGGGTGCTTGGGCAGCTCCACTGTCAGCCCAAGAGCCTTGCTCCCGTCAACCATCACAGCTTCAGCGGGAGATGGGCTCATCTCCACGGAGTGGGTGCCCAGATCCCGTGTGCTGCGGGCTGCCACGGTGTATTCGCTGGCGCCTGCCTTACGGGCACGACTCTGGCAGCAGAGACACGAGTCCCAGCGGGCAGCGGTGCAGGAGGGCAGGCTGGTGCGCTGTCCCAGCAGCCATCTCCCGGGGCTGAGCCCGTGTCCCGGCTCCCGGCCGCGGGGCCCTGCCGCTCCGTCCCCTTTCAGCTGCGGCGCCGAGCGCATCCCCGTCGGCAGCCGGCCCCGCTGCCCGCGCCGGCCGGGCCGGGAGGAGGAGGAGCAGGAGGAGGCGCGGAGCCCTCCGCCCCCTGCGGCGGAGCGGCCGAGGCGTTAGGACCCGGCGGCGGCGGCTGGGCGGCGCGGGGCCGGGGCCGGGGCCGGGGCCGGGGCCGGGGCCGGGGCGGTGAGGGGCGGGGGAGCCGCGCCGCCGCTCCTCCTCTCCTCTTCTTCCTCCCGCAGCCGCCCCTGCCCGTCGAGGCAGCGCTCCCAGGCTCCCCCGGGGCGCTCGGCATGAGGAGAATCAGGGCTAATGCCATCGCCATCCTGACTGTCGCCTGGATCTTGGGCACTTTCTACTACTTATGGCAGGACAACAAGCCCCGCTCGGCGGCTGCCGGCAGGTCCGCCGGAGGCGGTAGCGGCGGCGCCCGGAGCGGGCAGAGGGCGGCCGGCAGGCTGGAGCTGCGCCGGGAGGAGAGGACCATCCCCCTCATCGTGAGTGAGCGGCGGCCGCCAGCATCCCGTCCTGCTGCGGCGGGGAGGATGCTCGGGGAGGGAGCCGCCGCGGCGGGCGCGGGTACGCCGGCGGAGGGCTGCGCTTTGCCTTCGGGTTGCTTTCTGTTTATTTTAGCATTCGTGCTTGTCACCATGGCAGCCGCTACAATCGGGGAGCAGGGTGGGCACTCTCGAGGGAATAGAGTAGTGCCGTGGGTAAAGTGTTGCCGAGTTATCGCCACCACTCTCAGCCCGGGCTCTGCCCTTGGCCAGGGAAAAAGGCGGGTGAAACAGCTGGAAGGTTTTTAGTTCGCGTTCAGAAGGTGTTCACATGCAGATATGTGTATGCACGCACGCATGTATGTGATCACAGTGCTTTCTCGTCAGGGCCAGCTCTCAGAAGCCATTCCTCCGGCCAGCCGGGCTCCGAGCATCGGGCCGGGGCGATGCGAGTGACTGTACAGCTGGTACCAGCCTCTGCCTCGGCTCCCTCCGCTTGGCTGTCAGATGGAGGACCTGGGCTGCTCGTGACTTCTGTCTCTTTTAAACCACAGGCAGCAGCCCGAGTCGGGCTCAGGCTAGAGTTTGGGCAAGGAGATGGCAGGAGCTCCCAGGGCTCCGTTCCTAACCCGAGGAGTGGTAGCAGTGCCCTGATGTGCTGCTTCAGTTTTGTTGAAAGCCCCACACTCTGCCCTCCTTGGGTATCTGTGGGCTCAGTAGGGGGATAAAATTGAGCTCCTGACTTGAGGATGATGAGGACCTTCCTGTCTGTCTGTGGGGGTGATTTGTCCTCCCTTCAGCCTGTTTAATAGCATCAATAAAGCTCTCCCAACTCTCGGCAATTGCTTAATAAAAAATAAATCAGCCCCTGGAGCAAGAAGTGGCCCAGCAGTACCATTCCCAGGAGTGATCCAGCTGAAGCTGTTCGGGAACTGCACTGTGTGTCACTCTTTGGCTGCGAATCCATTTGTCAGCTGTTACGCACACATGGAAGTGAACAAAAGCAGCAGCCCGGTCAGAGTCGAGCAGGGGCCAGGCGCCAGGGCTGCCCGCCTCCCTCCTTGGCTGGCACTGGGATTTTTTGGCCTGTGTCTTGCTTTTTTTCACTTGTAAAGCGGGGATGGGAAATGTGTGTATAGGTGTTTGGGAAGCCCTGTGAATGTTCGGAAAATGCAGTCAGAGCAGTCCCAGCCCTCAGGCAGCAGGGTGGAAACTCTTTGGCTGAACCCTTTGGCCATTGCTTGCAGCTGCTGAAACTCAAAAGTCAAGGCTGAGGGTCTTGGACAGAGCACTTCTGTTATTTGGTGGTTACTAGGGCTGGGGGCTGCCGGCAGTTCAGGCTGCTCTGCTTTGGGCCCTCTGTGGAGCAGGACTGTGGAAATGAGTACGGTGAGGAGCTCTGTGCGAGTGCTGCTATTGCTGTAGCCCTTTGGGTGCACCGGGAAATGCTCTTAGGCTGGCAAAGGCTGAGTTGAACAGAGGATTTGGAGCACTCCTGCTTTTTTGATTCCACCTTAGTGGTGGAAGAAGCTGCCTCTGAGCTTCTGATTTCTTGTGTGAGCTTGAACATGCTGGTGTAGCAGTTTTATTTCTCTGTTCCCCCGCTTATCCCTTCTGGTTTTTTATAGCATTTACTTTACTCCCTCTCAGAGGGCTTGTGAGGTTACATGAATCCATATCGTCTGCCAAGCACCTTAAAATCCTCACAAGGAGGATGCTGTGGTAGTGCCACACGTGATTATATTCCTGCTGTTTGTGGGGGGCAGTATGTGCTCATGGCTACCACAGAGCCTCTCCTTACAAGATACATTGCCACGCAACAGCCACTCCAGATCTGGTCCTGCTCTCAAAACTGTGTAAATCATTCCAGCACTGTCCCATGCCTGAAATCCCTTAGCAGGGAAAAATAATCATCCTTTGCATCTCAAGTCCCTCTGTAACTCGGGTCCCAGGATCTGCCAGCCCTCCCAGTAGGGCTCTCAGTAGCAGCTGAGATGAAGGAGGACCTTCTCCTTATGCACCTGGTAGTGGGGCATGGTGGAAATTTCACATCCTGACCTGCCATGATGTATTTGGATAGAGAAGGAAACAGGAAGGATTTGTGGTGTTTGGGCTTTCCCTCATGAATGCAGGTTTCCTAAGGGTTTGGTGGGTTGCCGTGAGAGCAAGGTGGTAAAATGCAGTGTGTGTACTCGTGTAACTGTGCAGTGCTATGGCTGTGGAGAGTGTGTGTGATGTGCACAGCGAGCTGTCCCAGCCTTGGCCTCTTCCTGCGCTGCTGGGGCAGAAGCAGGGAAGAGATTGTGTGTGGACACGGGGTAGGAAGGTTGGTGGAGGTGTGGGGACAGTGCTGTCCTTCAGGGTGTGGCATCTAGCAGGGTCTGAGCAGCAGGTCTCATGGTCTGAGCTGCATATGTGAGCCTGAGGGCTGGTCATGCCAGGGTAGTAGCTGTGCCAATGGTCCACAGCATGTGGCTGGCTTTGTTCCCCAGCACAGCCCACTACCTTCTCCCAGCCAGCACAGGAGATGTGCCAGTTCTATTGCCCACTGGAGAAATAACAAATCTAGAGAAGCAGCTGTCCTTTGGCAGCACAGAGCCCTCAATCCTGAGTTCATTCCCCTTGAAGTCAGATTATTTGACTTAATATACAATGGCGGTCATGTATAAGGGGAGGAGTGCTTGTGCTCTGCGTGCTTCTCTATCCCTTGTCTTTCTGCAGAGCCACTGAGACAAGCTGCCCATTTTGATCCAGCTTCTGGTTTCCTCTGCTCTGCATGAGTGACTATGTTGAACTTCAGGTTTGGGCTTATCTGCAAATAAGGGTGACTCATGTGATTTATGGGTATCTGGAAAAATATTTTTTCAATTTTCTAATATTGGCTGCTTTTCTGTCTGGGAAAAAGAAAAAAATCTTTATTTTGGATGAGTGAATCCAAGAGTTCTGCTTTTGCATCTATGTGATGACATTTCAAATCCTGGGCAAGTGAAAGTTTATTGTTTGGGTTAAAAAACTGAAATGCTTTCTGGAGTTGTGTTTTTTTCTTCTTTATTCTCTCTTAATGTGCAGAATAAAAATCATCTCAGGTAAACACTTTGTCAAATGCAAGTCTCAGCTTGAAACTGTTTTTTATTTGTTGACCTCATATTTATTTCTACAACTTTCAACTTAAAATCTGGATGTCTGATTCCTGGAGTCAGCAGGGAAATTTTTGCATATTTAAGCTGGGGCATGGAGCTGTCAGAGATCAGTGTCCCAGAAACAGCTTGTGCATTAATAGCAATCCTACAGATATCTGCATTATAGATAGAAATCTTGACATGGCCTCTCTGCAATAGGCTCTTCACAGACAGGCTCTACAGATGCTTGAAATGAAAATTCATATATTGGCAAATGGCAGGGGTCAGTTGGTGACATGACGAGCCCCTGCATGCTTCTCCTTCCACTTACCACAGAGGGTATAAACACAAGTGAGTACCACAGTCCTAGAAATGCATTTTTTCTCTGGAACACAGCATAGTTTCATATAGATTAGAAGGAGCCCTAAGACCTCTGACAGTTACCTCGTGTGTTTTTGGAAGATGAGATTCCTCCCTGGACTCTTTTCTATCTCTTCTAGGCAAAAGGTTGTTTCCTGTTTCCAGGAAATTTCCAAAGGCCAGAAGCTGTGCTATGTGTCTTTAGAAGGGCTTTGGCATCATTCCTGCACTATGTGCAGGTGGTTAATTGTTCACAATGTGCTGCATATCTGTTTTAGTATGGCACTGATGAGCAGAGCCCAGGGCTCTGTTCTTCCCTGTCTGAAGACTGCAGCATGGGAGGCTCACCCAGCTCACTTGTGTCCCAGTGAAGAGAGCGAGGCCATTGCTGCAGCGTGGGCAAAGCTTGTTAGTGAGAGAGATAGTTGGTAGGCAGCTTTGAAAGAGATTTTTCTGTTGGCTGACTGTGAGCTTAGGGTGGGAGTATTTTCTCCTATTCCCTAGTCAAAAGCAGGATGTGAGGTGGCCCACAGGATTCTCCAGCTTGCTGACTTCTCTGGAGTGGCAGGGAAGCAGCAACATGCTTGGGAGTAGGAGATAAAAGCATAACTTTTTAAATGCTCTGAATTGTGTTAGGCTGATGCCCTGTTGCTCTTTGGAGCAGGTATGATGCCTCTTATCTTTGTCAACTGCTCTTTGGATTTTGGTATGTTGTCTCTTGTCTTCATCCTGCCAACTTTTGTGACTGTAGTTGCTCTGTGAGTCCATTGGAGCCAGTTTGGACGTGGAGAGGCCCTGCATTGTAATGCTGGCTCAGGTTGCCTGAGCTCAGCCCTCCTGTCTGCTCCCTGCCTCTGTGCTCAGCCATGTAAAATGTGCACTGGGGAGATGAGATCAAGCCATCCTTTTTCCTTGTAGCTAAGGGTTTCTAAATGCTCTGCAAACATCACTAAACTGGGTGTCACCTGCCTGTGGTGAGACAGCAAGCAGGAGACTCCACTGGGATGCTTGGCTCAGAACAGGTGGTGCGTGTAGGCAAAGAACAAGTTGGCGAGGAAAGATGTCAGTTGTTTAATTCCCATGTCTTGTTTAGCCAGAAAATAGGCAGTGGTTGGGCTTTACCCACTTCTCTGAATTGCCAAACTGGCACAATTAGCCATGCTTGTATTTGCCACCAAGTAAGACCACCTTGATACATGCTGTTCAGACCCTGGAACACCTAGTGCCTTTGGCTCCTGGGTATCTGAACCCCACAAAGCAGGTGCTGGCTGATGTTCACCATGTGTTCATGAATGATTTTATTCTCATCCCTTCATCACATTTCCTCTGTGTGCAGCTTTCATAGGATGCTGTTTTCCTCACAGCTGGGATAAGATGTAACTTTCATGGTTTGCTAAATGATTCCATTTTTCCAGGACCTGTGTCCCGTGAGGCTCCTGCATGTGTGCCTCCCTGGAGGCAGGTCTTGTAGCCTCAGGCATGTAACTTGAGAAACTGAGGTGGATCCTAAATAAATTTAAA